ATCAAATGTGCGGTAGTCAGCCACGTAACAAACAACATTTTTCCTATACATTTTTCGACCTAATCCCGTTTTCCACGACTTTTCACCCTCTGAAATTCACCAATTTCCAAAACAAAGGAACGGTCGTTATGGTTGTTCAGGTCTTTGCGCCGGCGTGCCAGTCGAAGTTTTTTGCGTAGTTGCCAGTACAACATTACCACTTCCATGTTATACATACATAGAAGTTATATATAGGAGTTACCACTCCTTAACCTTTTCATGTAAAAGGTTAAGGAAAACATGAACACATTTTCATTTACATGAAAACAAATCATTTAATATACTTAACTATTTACTATAAAATAGATAGTAATTAGTAATACCCAGATGATAGATTTCCACTACTTTTCTGACTCTCATCACAATTCCAATTAACCGATTAAGACATTCATAGACATCCATAGAGAAACCAAAGCTGAAAATACTTTATTAAAAAAATAACCGATTATTTTAATTTCTTTGCATGCATACACAATTAATTTAATATTTCAAACCGCTGGCTGCCATCATCTGGGCCCCGGCTAAATTAAGCGCACAATCATATGTATGAGCTTGTCGTCTACTATTTCATGTATGGATGTAATTCTGCTAAGTTGTGAACCTTGAATGAATTACTTTTTTGTTTTCATGGTGATTTTCTACTTTGGTGGCAGTTCGGCAACATGGCTGACCAGGATGCCATTCATAGAGTAAGTAAAATAATTTTACTTTCTCTATGATGCCATTTTCACAGAACATACCCCCTTAGAATGGAAACTGCAATGATAGGTTATGGAAATAAATTCAGCACTCCATCTAGCGAAGCGAGGAAACAAACTATTGGGAATGTGAGGAATTTCTCCGATATTTGATTCCTAATAATCCATTCACCAAGTTTTATCAGGCCGAAAACCGCAAGTTTGACTTGCAGTTCTCAGCCTAATAAAGATATCGGGTCAATAAAAAAAACGTATGATGTAATGTTTTATTAAATACGTACTCGAGAAATCAGTTACATATACTAAAATGTATTTGCATCTAAACATACATATATTATATTACAATCAGTGAGGGTCTTAGATAGTAA